TGTAATTTGTTTCAGGGAAAATACAGAATAAATTCATCCTAAATTTATAATTAATTTCTTGCCTTACTGTTTGGTTAGTTTCGAGAACGTTTGTCATTAATGATTTTAAATGATTTAAATGATTTTAACGATTAAAGATGCCTATTAGAAATTTTGGAAGATTGATTACTGAACAAGGAATTTTCTCTTCAATAACTTTATCATCAGGTCCTAGTATCAAATATCTATAACAATCAAAGGATAAATTGAATGTTCCCATAATTTATTCAGAACAAAATATTTAGAACGAACAATTGTTGCCTTCAATAAATTCTTCTTCAGGCTCTACAATTATAAATCCATTAATTTAAGCATACAATAGTCAGTAAAGGCAAATTAGAATCATATCAGAAAGTGTATTGGGGAACAAGTGTAAGATGGGATGGAACGATAGTCAGATAGTTTTTAATATGCATGGTCAATGAGAACATGAGATAAAATGAGATGAAACAATTTAATGATGTATATATATATATATATACATAGTCAACAGAAAATACAGGTTTCGAGAGTGTGTGTAATCAGGGTGTGTGAGACAATATGAAAATAAACCAACGAATGGGGCGGACTAGACATATAGGTGTCCAGGCCGTAGGTGTTACGAACTTCCTGGAATAATTTGAGCGCCGAGTCAGATTGATTCATTATAAATTATTTAAATTAATCCCAGCGTGTTAAGAAAATCAAAACAAGATATGTTTTCTGAACGTTTCGCTGTGTAAGCCACAGCTTCTTCAGCAGATTTATTCGGATTATTATTGACATAAGTTCAAGGTTGAAAATAACGACAGTAAGAATGATTGTAAAATAATAACGATGATATGGTGTAAAATTACAAGCACTATTAGGGGAATGATTGTCAAATAATAATAATAATGAATATAATGAAGCGGAATGAACAGGATTTTGTAAATACGATAGCAAGTTACAGAAGCACTACTTAAACCTAAGGTAATAAAATCATAAGAAAGGTCATGAAAACATAAAAGTCGAAAATGAACGTTTGTCAATGAAACAGAGGAATAGAAGAAGAAGAAAAGAAAAGAAGATTGTGAAAGGAATTTATAGTGTTAATGGAGGATTTGTTGGCTTTATTGTAGGCCAAGGTAAACATAGTGGTTGAACATACTTCTTCCGTGTGCAAAGAGATGGTCTTCTGGTATTAATTGCCACCGCTTCAGCTACTGATAGAAGACGCAGTCGAGCTCCTCTAGATAAATTACTAGGAACGCGGTAAATAACTGAGAACTGGATTTATAATTGTAGAGCCTGAAGAAGAATTTATTGAAACCACAATTGTTCGCTCTAAATATTTTGTTCTGAATCAAAGAATAATTGCTTTTGACAACACTGATGTTTTTCATTAGTAGCACGGATTCATTCACATCAAAATTCCATAAGATTTTTGCACATAGATTGATAATAGAGTTTGCTACAAAACATGTGTGTGTGTGTGTGTGGTAATGTGTATAATTGCAACACTAAATTGCACACCACTATTATACAAAGTTAGTGATTATGAATGACAAAGAATGTATGGTTATAAATTCTCTTGAGTCATGTGAATATTAAATTTTGAGTGTATGAATGGATGATAACCTCAAGGAGTGGAGAAGAAATTGCGTTAGAAGGTTATGCGCATTGTGTGTGTGTCACTGTGCAAGTTGATGACTACGTTTAAATAAGAAAACAAAAGGTTAGTAAGTGCAAGTGTAATGACAAGGGGTAAGGGAATTTACATATATACAGGATGGAGGGTCATACCTAAAAGCTCGACGTGATAAAGTGTATATGAACTTATAGATTTCACACCAGACCAGGGCAGCAACAGTGGCCCGCTGGACCTGTTTCTTCTGCAGGCAAAGCACCGGTTGTTTTAGGCGAATTACAATAGCCTCAGCTGTTTGGAGTATTTGGTACCTATATGCTTTTGGCAATTTATTTGGAACGTGATAGACATTAAAGAAAAACTCGTCAATACTAGCTTTATGGATGGTTTGCACAAGGTGGTCTAATATTGAACTGTTTATGGTTCTCGCTACACCTTTACTTAGACACACTGATAGGTGTTCCCAGGCACGAAAAATCGATTTTCCAGAGCAACAGCCAATATTAAATTGCCCCACATATTCAGTTAAGTTGATAGATATAATTAGAGGAGGCTAGACCAGGTACTTTATCTTTCAGCTGAAGAATCACAATACTTTTTATGGAAAATATCAGCCGTAGCTTTCTGTAATTAAATATTCTTTGGATAGGTTTCCTCAACTTGTTAGTCATTATTTCACTTGGTGTATCACCCCTGAATATAGAGGCTTCTTCGTAACAGATACAGAAGGATTCTTTCCTACTTTCTTGGCCATATGTTTAGTGATGAACTTTTCAAGGTAGTTGTTTTCAATTAAAGTGTTGTATACAAACTCAAGTTCTTCTTCAATCTCATCTTCTGAACAAATAGCTCTGACATTATGGATGTGGGAGAGGAAGGAAGCTTTGAAAATGTGTATATTGCCCGGTCCAAGAAGAAACCTAAAGTAAAATTATCTTTTTAGACGTCCTACTGAAAAGAAAACCAAACGGCAACGTAAAAGGAAATTTGCATAGGAAAAGTACTCGGACTGGTGAATATACATATGTTGCTGTTGAGCTTATACATCCATAAATGCAGTGTTAATTTCTTTAGTTTATCTGATATTCTGTCATTTTAGTGTTATACGAATTCATATTATCTCTCTCTTACTGATGCTTTTGAAATGTAATCATCTTTGATTGGACAATGGTAACTAGTGTGGTGCGTCCAGTCCTTTGTTTGATGCAGACTAAATTCTGTCAGTCAAGTTTGTAATGTGACCACCATTCTAGGTAGTTCGCCATCACGGTTCACTTTGAATTGTTGATGTTAGATGGTTCGAGGCAATTGGCAGGCAGGAAGCCCTGCCAGACCTAGGTTTCGTGTTAGTTGGTAATGGTCAGCAAGGCCTGTCTGCAACCTTAAAGGAACAAAATCCCTACAAAATCCAATACTTGATAATCGATCTGATCCTCACTAGCGACTGGTCCTATTCAGGCAGTGACCTGAGGTTCTAGTGAGAAGCCGTGACCAGATGAGGCAGTGACTCATCGAAAAAGACATTGCAAAGTGGTCGCGCTACATCGTGATTTGGCAGGAGTTAGAATTCATGGACTGGTCATGGGGTCGGGTCCCAGTGGCTTGATGGTCTACAAGCTAACTCGCCTTGTAACCAGAAGGTCCTGAATTCGAAATTCCTGTGGTGGGTGCGCGCTGATGAAGAGTCCCAAACTAGGGCGGAAGAGCTGTCTAGTATTTCCAGGTCTTCGAATGGTTCTTTAACTGATGTCAGCTCATGATGAAATCCTGGAGTCCATATCTCTTCTGAGATTCGAAAAGCTTGGTGGTAATATCTGTGACTGTGGCACAGGGTGACGCGGGTTCGAAACTCAAAAGAGACGTGGATCTCTCCAAGGTTGCAGATACGCCTTTCTGATGAGTACCAACTAGCACGAAACCTAGGTCCAAGTCAGGGCTTCCTGCCGACTGACTCCAACCAACATATATCACCAAATGTAATCATCTATCGTTGCTACTGATTCAGTGCAATTTAAAACAACATTAAGGTTCTTAATAACAATATTTGTTTAATTATTACTATGATATAATTGTAGAACCTGATAAAGAAGTTACTGAAAAGAATATTCCTTGTGTAATACTCAGCCTTTGTATACATGGTTTAACTTACTAAAATTGAAAGTAATTTTGAATAGATAAGCTAGTTAATGATAAACATACAGTATGGCATTTCAAGGAATTTTAAATATTCATCCTGCACTCTCTCTTTCCTGCCACCGATTTCAAATAACTCAACAACTTCCTCGCTTAACCTCCTCCATCTCACCCCAAGATCCATCCTCAACCCTCTTACTCACTCATTGCAATTTAGGTTCCACTCCAGGACTTGCCAAAAGATGCCACTCAATGGTCCAAGCCATCTCTACTTTCTTCAACATATCTTTTGGGTAATATGTTCTTTTTAACTTGACCATGGATTGATATCAGTTAGAGAACCATTGAAAACTAGCACTGGAGTACTGAACAGCTGTTTCATTCTCGTTTGAGACTCATCGCCAGTACGCACTCACCACCAAGGTTGGAACCGAGGACCTTCTGGTTATAAGGAAAGCTCGTATACCATTCAGCCACTGGGACCTGATTCAGTGGGAATTTCATAAATTCTAACTTCTACCGATTCGTGTTTAAGCGCAAACCGTGATCAACTCGTAAAAACAAATTTAATCCTTACAAACCAACTATGGAAAATTAATCTGACGCTCGCTAGTGCCTTGCTACAGGATGGCGTTTCCTGGAGTTCTAGTGAGAAGTCATGACTAGTGAGGTCCATCCAGTCACGTTTGAGGATGGATTTCCCACCAATGACATTGTTTAGGGTCGTGGTTAATCACGAATCGGTAGAAGTTAGAATTCATGATCCACTGAATCGGGTCCCAGTGGTTGAATGGTATATGAGCTTTCCTTATAACCAGAAGGTCCTGGGTTCCAAACCTGGTGGTGAGTGCGTACTGGCGGTGAGTCCCAAACTAGGATAAGACAACCCCCCACTACTCCAGTGCTGGTTTTCAATGGTTCTCTAACTGATATTAATCCGTGGTCAAACTCAAAATACAAATCATATCCTTACAAATCAACCATTGATAACACGTTCTTGGCTTATTCATCACTAGACTTCCTTACTGTTTATCTATTATGGTCAGCCATCCAATCTTCCGTTGTTTTCGAACAAGAAGACACCTATTGAAGAAAGCCTGAAGTATTACTTACTTTCCAAGAACAAAAAACTTAAATTTGTGCTGAATTATAACGTCAATATAAATCATGTTTGTTTGTTTGTTTACTTGTTTCCTTTTTTCTTCCATTTTTTTTCCAGGTTGTCGTTGAAATTCGATATCGTCCACGTTTATACAGACAGAAGCGTTCATTGACAGAAGGAGATAAAATGTTGTCGAATGTTTGTCCATCTACAGGACATCATTTTGGTTGTTGTACACAACCACTGTCTGTAAAATTTGCAGATATTGGCTGGGATAATTGGATTATACAACCGAAAGCTTTTCAATTGAATTATTGTCTTGGATCATGTAAAAGTGAGTCACTCTTGATGATGATAATAATGATGATGGCGATTACTTCATTAGAAGATTGTTTCTCTTTCACTTGTAAATTTACCAATGGGAAACTTATAAATTAAAGAGACTAGTTGTAAATAAACAATATTATATGTTTAATCATTTATTATTCCCTAGGATTCCGATTGAAATTTAGGGTTTTAACAACAGATATCCACTTTATTATATTTTCCGCTTCCCACTTCATCTGGGCCCACGATTTCCCATAATCTCTCATCTGCTGAATGTCACCCTCGCACTGACGACCCACTCGTCGCTTTCCATTGGGGTTCCACTCTAACGGTAGCCTGCATTGCGTGCGATGTTAATCGACGACCTCCTCAGTGGCGTATGCCCGATCCATCGCCATTTCCTCCTACATGTTTGTTAAGCTCTTGCCTGTTGGTTTGTTCCCAGCCATAGTTTCTTGATGCTGATTCTTCCTAATCGGCCATTTGATCTTCAGTGTGCAGCCAACGAACGCAGCTGTAGATAAAAGTCTGTAACCTGTTGGAAATGCTTTTCGTGCTGAGCAGTGCATGTTTCTCACCCGTATACAAGAACTGACCGACTGACTTCACATTTGTGTTGAAAGTCTGAATCTTGTTGCTTATGCCAAGTTAGTGCCGAAGATTTCCAAAATGGTTTCAAGTTGATGAAGGTGTATCTTACATTTCCAAATCTATCTACCTTTGATATCTTCATCCGTTCCAACTGCCTGTGGTTGAAATAGAGCTTCCTAGCCGGAAAAGTGAAGGAAATGAGTGACCTCTTTCAAATTTCTCCCATTGATGGTGATTGGTGCTGATTTATGTTGACGTTGATAGCTGGTTATCTTCATCACCTCCGTCTTCTCTATGTTCACCTGGAGAAGATTTGTAGCTCAAGTGGATCATGTAAAAGTGAGTCAATCATGATGATGATAATAATGATGATGGCGATCACTTCATTGGAAGATTGTTTCGCTTTCACTTGTAAATGTACCAATGAGAAACTTAGACTGCAGATTAAACAGACTAGTTGTAAATAAACAAAATTATATGTTTTATTATTTATTGTTCCTTTGGATTCCAGGTGGAATATAGGGCTTCAACAACACATCTCCACTTTGTTCTATCCTCTGCTGTCCTCTTCAACTGGTTGGGTCCATGATTGACCATAATCTCCTATCTCCTCCATGTCATCCTCACACTGATGGCCCACATTTCGCTTCTCATTGGGATTCCACTCTAGCTATGCCCTGCGTTGCGCGCGATGGTATTTGACGGTCTCTTCAACGTATGCCCGATCCATCTCTATATTCTTCTATATATTTGTTGAGCGATCGTCTCTTGCCTATTGGTTTGTTTCCAGCCAGAGTTTCTTGTTACTAATTCTTTCTGACCAGCTATTTGATTTTCGGTATACAGCTGACAAAGACAGTTGTTGTTAAAATTCTATAACTTGTTGGAAATGGTTTTCGTGCCGCGCAGTCCAAGTTTCTCACCCGTGTAAAAATATTAAGTTACATAATGTTGGTGTCGAAAATCCAAATCTTGTCCTTCGTGCTGAGTGAAGCAGAGGATTTCCGAACTGTGATGATATTAGATGTTTGGAGGCAATCGGCAGGAAGCCTTGCCAGACCTACGTTTCGTGCTAGTTGGCACTCATCAGCAAGGCGTATCTGCAACTACCTTGAAGGAACTCATGTCCCTTCTGAGATTCGAACCCGCGTCACCCAGTGCTGCAGTCAGAGACGTTACCACTGAGCTATTCGGGCTCGCGATTGACCTCCTGTTGGACTGTACTGGATATTTTGATTCGACACTAGTAACTAATGTGATGCGTCTAGTCCTCTCTTTGGTGGAGACTGCAGATACGTCATGCTGAAGAGTGCCAACTAGCACGAAACGTAGGTCTGGCAAGGCTTCCTGCCGATTGCCTCCAACCATCTAATATCATCACAAACAATGTACACCGTGATGGCGAGTTACCTATAATGGTGGCCACATTACAACCTGACTGATAGAATTCAGTCTGCACCAAAGAGAGGACTAGACGCATCACACTAGTTACTAGTGTCAAATCGAAAAAGATTTCCGAAATGGTTTCAGGTTGATGAAGGTGTATCTTGCCTTTAGGATTCTAGCTAGCTGACTGGCTGGCTTTGACATCTTCATCCATCCCGCCCTCATGTGGTTGAAACCATGCTTTCTAGCCGGAAAAGTGAAGGAAGTGAGTGACCTCTTTCAAATCTCTCCCGTTGATGGCGACTGGTGCTGGTTGTTGTTGTTTCGGTTCGTCGGTTACCCTCATCACCTCCGTCTTCTCTATGTTCATCTGGAGTTTTGTCTTCTCTGCTTCTTCAGTCATTTTTTTGGTTTATATATACATATATATTGATTTTTTTTTAGAAATAACACCGTTTTGGTTAGATCAATGAAATTACGGCTCAAGAAAGATGGATAAATTATAACGGAGAAGATTTTTAACTCCAATGGACGATTTTGATTTAGTTGTGTCCTCTCAGCTGGCTAATTTAACTGCGAAACTTTCCTCGTCCTTCTAGACAACATTCCCCTTCAGAGCAGGTTTTAGTATGAAACGAATTTATTTGAATTTTCCGCCTGAATGATTTATTTTTTTATCTTCTGACAACCATTGTCGTCACTGGTTCCTAATTTACGTCGCTATTAATCATTTTTATTGAATTGGAATGTGAAATTTCTTGTCATGTGATGATTCACTTTTTATTAGCTGGTAAATTTTGGTCTATAGAGGTAATGTGTTTGTTTGTTGATTGCTGATTCACTTAAGTATCAGGCATGTAGAAATTCCCCGACTGCATTTTTTTGGTGTTTCCTCAATTTAAAATTTCTACATTATCCCAATCATCATATTGATGTCCATAATTATTCACATGCATTGTGATACGAAAGAAGGGGACATCCACTTTGACCGATGTAATGTTTATTGCAATGAAAGGAACCTGAAAGAATTAACCTCTTTTACCTACCTACATGGGAAGCATCGTTTCAACTACAGGTGGATGGAACTGGCGAGGATATCAAAGTGTGAGGATCGGGAAAGCAAGACAAGCTTTCACTACTCTCAAGTCTGTGTGGAGGTCAACAGCACTCCTCAGCATCCAAAATAAGATCCGAATTTTCAACTCCAATGTGAAGTCAGTGCTACTCACTACACGGATCAGAAACTTGGCCAGTGCGTCATAAAGAGCATCTCAAACTAACTACAGACCTTCATTAACAGTTGTCTTCGCTCAATACTCAAGATCAGATGGCCACAAAAGATCAGCAACAGAGATCTCTGGGAGCGAACCAACTAGGAACCAATTGTTAAACAAATAGTCAGGAAGAAATGGAGATGGATTGGCTGTACTCTGAGGAAATCATCGTGACATCACTAGACAAGCCCTTGAGTGGAACCCGAAACAGAAGCGGCGAATTGGTTTGTCCAAGGGTGACTTGGACGAAGTCATGTGAAGAGGAGATGAGAACGTGTGGGCAGACGTGGGGCCAGGTGAAAACTCTAGCAGAGAACCGAACGCAATGGAGACGCACGGCTGAAGCCCTTTGTTCCTCTAGGAATTAAAGGAAACAATAATAATAATGTTTATTGCAGTTCATAGAATTTACTTGTCAAATGGTATTAATTTCGCCTTCTGTGCTGTTCCGTGTTTTGGTTTGAACAATATCGAATGAAGAGATTGTGCTAGCTGGTTGACTTGTGTGCTACATCTCCTTCAAACGGTCTTGAATGAGATGAATGAACGGTCAAATGAATCACGTGGCAGCAGAGTTCAAATCGCAAGTTAATTAAAAATAATCAATAAAGAGATCAAATTAACACCAGTCACAACGGTGATTGTCAAAAGATACAGTTATATCATCAGTCAAGTGGAGAATTCAAATGAATTCATTTTAATACTAAAACCTGGGCTGAAGATGTTGTCTAGAAGGACAACGAAAGGTTCGCAATTGAATTAACCAGCTCACAGAACACAACAAAGTCAAAATGTATAATTTATAATAAGCATAAAAATGTAGTAGTAAATAGAATATCAAATAAAATTAAGGAAACTTCTACAAGAAATTAATGGTCATTAAAACGTTGATTAACAAGGTAAGGAAAGCGTCTGAACCAATTTTCTTTTGGATACATTAGTTAGGCTTCTTATAGTGGATCCCAGTGGCTTCAGCAATATTTAGTAAACGAACTCCTAAGGTAAAGTTAAGATTAATTGGTATGCTGCAGATAACTTTAAAAGTCGCCTTATCAACATCAATTTTTTCTTATGTATCCACAAGAGGATATAGTACAGAACTATGGATGGACTTTGTTTAACAATGCAGTATGGTTCCATTATGGGTAAATTTTTATTTTGATAGAGTCTCACAGTGTTATACAGTAATATTTACTGATGACTTTTCGAGCACAAACTATTGCTCATAATCATATCAAGTTACTCACACAACTGTTTTCCTTCATTTATATACATGTGTGGAATCGACTAGATATTGGATTAAAATTCAATATGAGATAATGTACATTCAGAAATAATAGTACGAGTGTTATTAATCCATTGCAATTAGATGGGAAATACGACGAGTGTTTTTTTTTTTACAGTCATAATAAGTTGATTGTTAGAATGTTATGATGTGCTTGAATGGAAATAGAATTTTAAGACTATTTATCATCTTCTTCTGATTTGACTGGCGGCAATAATATCTTCCATATTTCTGGTATTTGCATTGAGTCACTTCTGTTGCATGTGTTGGGTGTAGATTCGATGAACAAAGATTCAGTAATCAACCTCTCTCTCCACCTACCTAGATTACTTTTTAGAATTTTAACCCTCTCCCACCCTATTGTGTGATTGTGTGTTAATGCATGCATTGCGATTGCCGAGCTTTTTTCTAAATTACTTATCTTCTCTGGGTCAACCATTCTTATCTTAGCTAAATTCTTATGTTCTGACA